ATACACATCGGGCTTTATTTTGCCATTTGCTGCTTCTATAAATTGGCATTGATGATGATTTGCAGTGGTCAGCATGCACACTGGTCTTTTGTCCGTCCATTTTAAAAATTTGATTCCGCTGCGATTTTCCAGAGCCAACAATTCACCACGTTTTTGTTTTTCTTTTGCTTGGGGTGGTAAATTCTTTCTGTTAATTTTCACGGTACCACACATAAATGTAATATTATCTAAAAGAAGTTTAACTAAAGCAACAATAGTGTAAAAACTATCGATGAAAAGAGTGCGCCCCTCAAATAGCAAGCCGTTCAGCAATCTCATTACCACATCTTGAGAGTGGCATTTTTCAATCATCGTTCCATTTTTTCCGGCATATATTTCGATATTATGCGTATATCCTTCGGGTAAACATAATTTATATAATTTTACGCCATATTTATGTCGCTTTCCTGGGATGTATTGACGGAAACCTAGACGTGCTCTCCAAGGAACCATGCTCTCATCGATAACAATTTGTTGACCAGGTCTAACGGAACTTTTGAATGTATGAACAATGGCATCTACAATTTTACGAATTTTGTATAATTTGTCTGGAGTAGCTGTGGTATTATCAGAAAAATGTAAAAACTTGAGTATGGCTAAAAAACGATCACGTCTCATTGCATTTTTTATTCTAGTGTTTGCGTACATGTTGTTTTTAGACCAGTACAATCAAATTTCTGGTAACTGCACGATACCCATGATAAGTAATATGCCTATGAAAGTATTCATTTCATCCCTTGTAACATACTGCCAAGGCTGCCGATGCATTCTGTTACAAGATGATGAATTAGTTAGACATTGTGTAGCATACTTATTCGTTTCTTCAATAATTATATCTAATATGTGATCCGCAAAAAAAAGTTTATATGAAGCAAAAGCGTCATCACATTCAATACCTTCATGTAAAAATTCCTCATTTCCCGAATACTCAATTATTGTAGAAGCTTTTTCACCTATGCCTTGCCATTCGTCATCGACACTCTCATTTATTGATTTCGACACCAAATTATCATTATCAGTAAAACAATCATCCACCTCACTATTTACACAAAAATCTTCTTCATCTGAAGATGAAGAAAGTATCCGTAATCTTGATGCCCTTTTTCTACTCATATTTACATATTCATCACAGTCACTCAGTATTATATCCATGTTGATATTTTTAGACATACGAAAATAAAAACCACAACCAACACTATGTATACTACTTTGTAATAATGATTGTCAAAGCAACATTTAGGCAATAAAATATTATTATGAATAATGTTGGTTTATAAAGAAATTTATAAAATGAGTCAGGTGCAAGATTATTCCATCTAACAACAATGGATATATTCGAAAATAAAACTAACGGCAGTTTACAGGTAAAAACGGTCAGTCTAACCGCGTTTCTACACTAAGCTTTATAATTCTACCTTTTATAAAATAAAAGGTTCAAATATCAGCAGAGTTAAATCCTTATAATAAAATAATCTCATCTAAAGAAATAATCCTGATCGTGCAAGAAAATGCACGCCGCCCGATAAGGGTATCGTTCTTTGTGCGGCCGTCACATAACAAAGTATGCAAAAATCGGCCCCGGCGTGAACGTGTTAAATACCAATGATATCACTGATAAATTTTGCACTCTAAAGTATTGTTATTTCAGCCTATGGTAAAACCAGATTAAATGTATTTCGTTTCGTATATTTTTCGGTATGTATATTCCTGATTGCCGTCATTCACGGCCAAAGATTGTCATAGTTAGAAATATGACCCCCATGAATAGTAATTCAATAAATTATACATTTGAGCACTTGAACACAATTTCATTGTTCTGTATCTTTGAAGTAATATTTTTGTATTTTCTGGAAAATACACAATGGTATTATGTTCAGTTTCATACCTAAAAGGTCATAAAACTGCCTATGAGACGAGAAAGCGACCGCTTTCTTCCCAAAGCAAAAACGCCAAAAACAGTAAATGTCTGCACGAGTTAACAGATACTTACGTTAATACCAGTTTAGGAAAGTCGGATATGACAAATCCTGTGTAACAACTCCACTCGGATTCACTCCGAGGGAGGAGTTGCATCTGAATGATAACTCCGGAGTGAGTTACCCATCTCTAATATATATATATATATATATATATATATATATATATATATATATATATATACATTACATATATATATATATATATATATATATTGTGTGTGTGTGTGTGATAATTATTTCAGATGGTGATAAATATGTTGATATTTTGACAGGCAACCATCCAGATAATAAAGATAAAGAAAACTATATTTTGTTTGTTAGGGTGAATTTAATGGTCCATATGTTTCAGAAATTTTATTTATATTAATTATTAATTTTATTTTCATTATTATTTGCTTATATTTTATATCAAATCATATTACGGATATTTATATTATTATTTATCAATATTACTTGATGTTAATAATTTAGCAGTTGTAATAATTATTGAAATTAAAAAAAAAAAAATATGTTTCATATCCCTACAAAAACTACAAAAAGTAAGAAAGAAAGAATATTCGAATTTAACATAACACAAGTATAAAATACAAAAATACAAAAAGATAAATCTAACATAAGGTATATATAAGGTCAAAAAATAATAAAAATAAATATGAACCATATTCATAAAATTAATTAAAAAGAAATTTATTATTTGTCCTTTCAATTAAGGGGGTTGTTCTTTTTTTATTTTTATTTGTTTCGGTTTTGAGATTTTTTGATATTATGAAAGCTAAAAACCTTAGAATTATTTAAAAAAAAAATCATCTCAATATCTATTTTTTTGACGAAGTTATAGATATATATATATCTCTATACGTATGACCTTCTGAAGCGTTTTTTATCGTTCCGCGAGCTATTGTATGCCAGCTGCCTCTTTTTCATTATAATACCTCATGCACATGACCTTTTTAATGTGTCAGCATCTTTGAACACCATCGTGTATTTCGTACAATGAATTAAATAGTGTATTTAGTACATTATATTAAAAACTTTAAATACGTTTTTCTCAAATTGACTTTTTTCAATGCGGTGCCACAAATTAAAAAAAAACTACAAGTCGGATCGACTTGCATTTTTTTTTAATTTGTTCACCACTGCAATACCTAGTCCCCCTACCTCAAACAACTTGATAACATTACGCAAAAAAATTTTGCGAACCTTCTCGTCCCAAAAAATAGCCTTTTTTGACACTTTTTTTTCAATTAGCTGCCATTTTCTTCCTTCTTGCTTTTTTTCTTTCATTTTGGTAGGGGGACTGGATTCAAACTTCTTCTTCAACGTAGTTTCGTTTTTTTTTGTTTCAGGCGATGCGCAACGGATTTATCTGTGGCACCGCAAACGAGATCGATTTTGCAATGCCCACTTTGGCGCCACCTGGTTAAAAAATGACGGCAAAAAAAATAAAATAAAAAATTTCTTAATATTCTATGATTTTGTAATTTTTGTTTAAACAAAACTGCATGTCTTTATGATGAATACATTTCGAGAAAAACAAAAACAAAAATCTTGCATGTTTTGTAATAAAAAAAGAACAACCCCCTTAATTTTATAAATATAATTTATGTTTATTCATATCAAACAAAATATAGATTTCTTTATCTATATATCTGGATGGATGCCTGTTTAAAAAGTTTAGTTTCACAATATATATATATATATATATATATATATATATATATATATATTAATTTGGAAATATGAACAAACAACACTCTTTTTGCACTAATTTATTAAATAATAATTTTCACAAACGTTTTGAGACTAGGTTTGTCTCATCATCAGTGTGTTATAATTAAAAAATTTTTTTTAAAATATGGAAATCTAAAAAAAAATTTTTTTTAATTATAACACACTGATGATGAGACAAACCTAGTCTCGAAACGTTTGTGAAAATTATTATTTAATAAATTAGTGCAAAAAGAGTGTTGTTTGTTCATATTTCCAAATTAATATCTATTATCCACTCAGAATACATTTGTAATATATATATATATATATATATATATATATATATATATATATATATATATATATATATATCTGTAATATTTTTGCAGCCCAACCGTCGAATTAAAAAAAGATTAAATAACAAAATGATTTATTCCATTAAACGTTTCGACACTTGATGTGTGTCATCATTCAGTAATCTAAAAAACATATAACATAAATACACAGTTGATGATAAATATAAATATATAAAAGGAGGAAATTATACATACCAAACCAGGAAAAACAACAAAAAACATTAATTATGATGTAAAATTGATTGTACACTAAATTTGTGTAAAATAACAGAATACTATTATATTAACAAACGAGAAATAGGAGAAGCACATATTGCCCTCCTATATTTGATGTTATTGATAGCATTGCATTGTGGGCACTGTTCATGGTTAAAAGTACAACGCAGTGTAGACACGCACGTGTAATGGAAGATCGGGAGAGAGTTGCGAGAAACGAAAAGGGAAAGAGAAACAAAGAAGAAATATAACTAACGAAAGATTCTAAAACTGTATTGAATTACTTTTCATGAAATTAATGATTACTTTGACACTGTCATGTAAGAGATGAGATGAATTACGTTTGTTTACACAAGAAGTATTAAGGGATGTAAGTAAAGATTCAACTATCTTTCTAAGGTCACAATTTTTTTCAATGTAAAGGATTGAAGGATCTGACATGTTAAAAGTGTGATTCAAGTTTATCATATGTTCAGAGAGCATCGTTTTGAATTGATTTGGGTTTCTGGAATTATATATATGTTGATTAATCCTCTTGTATATATATTGGGAAGTTTCACCAATGTAACAACTATTGCAATCATTGCAGTCCAACCTGTAAACAGAATCAGCAACCCTATCAGCGCGAGTTTTCGATTTAAGAGAAGAACTAGCTGTAAGTGGAATTCTGTCTTGAGGCAATTAGGGCATCGTGCCTTAAGGCAAATTGCTGGAACTTCCCGTACCAAAAATTATTATTTTTTTAAAAACGATTAACATTTTTGAAAAAAATTTACTTCGAAAAAATAAGATTTTTGAGAAACTATAAATTGGACAAAAAATTACTTTTCTTTGAAAAAAAAAATTTTTTTTTTAAAATTTTTTTTAAAAAAAATTTTATAAAAAAATTTTTTTTTTTTTTTTTAAAGAAATGTTTTTTTTATTTTGACATATTTTGGAAGATCTGAACTTGTTTTTCAAAGCAATCGTACTGCTTTAACTGCATAGAGACAAAATATAAAGCGCGGCGTCGCTGTCTAACGGGTAAACATTGATACGGAACCCATAGGAAAATAAACAAAATTTATACTTATTGTTAAAATCTCTATAAAATATCTGAAATTTTGATGTGCATATGTCTAATGATCATTTTTGACCGCCAAATGGCACTTTTTTTTACTTTTTTTGTTAGATCTCCGAAACCGCTAGACCTGCCTTTATGAAAATTTGATCAATTCTTTATCTTGTCGATACAAGTAAAATGTTTTTTGAATTATTAAAATCGGACGCTCCGTTCTCTTAAAAACTGAGTTACCGTTCTCGGCACTTTTTGCCCCGTATCTCCGGAACGGCTAGACCTGCCTTCGCCAAAAACTAATCAGCACGTCTCCTTGTCAATACGAATCGAATGTTTTTTGAATTATTCAAATCGGTTGATCCGTGTTCCCGAAATCGTCGACGAAAATTTGTATCCGCACATACATACACACACGCACACACACACACACACACACACACACACACACACACACACACACTCACATACATCCATTTTTTCTAAGGTATGCCAAAATGTTCAGAAACCTCTGAAACGTAAAGATATATAAAAAATTTCATTTTCGATTTTTTTGCGATTACTATAACTTACCCTACGGGAAGTTAAAAAGGGCAACGGAAAGTGTTGTCAAAACTGAAAACCAAAAGAAAACCTTCAGCGGCAAATAACTTTTTTAAGAAATATGAAAAACTGCTTAAAAAGGGTAAACAACACCTTTATATTTATCTAAAGAGGAAGAATTAAATTTTAAAAAAGAATTGTTAAGATAGGAAGAACTGTTTAAATTGTTTTGTAAAAACTCTAATCTATTTTTAATGACGTTATTAACTAAATATGAAGGATAAGGAGTTAATA